TGTACTTCTTTTCTGAAAGATCCTCCCATTTTGTTTTCCATTTGAACACCATTTTCTCCTCCCGGATGTCGTCGGTTTAACACCTTCGAGTACTTAGCTTTTCCTGCCGAGACTTTTCTTTCATCTATAATTGTGTTATTCAACTTACTGATCACATTCAACTGCTCTCCCTAACTCAAAAAATGAACAAAAGCAAACGTTGAATCCCTGTACCTCACTCTGTTATTAATTCGAGGAATGAAGACACTAATAACTTTCCCATGTTGATTACACAAATCCCTTAACTTGCCCCTTGTAGTTTTTCTACTCAGATTGTCGAAGAACACATACCAAGTTACTCCAGTGTGGAATGAACGGAGTCTTCTACTGGAATTAGATAGAGAAGTCATTTTGCCTGTAACTTTCTGTTGCCACTTTTTTGAAGCAGAATAACAGTCGATTGTTGCCCCTAGGACCTGTGAAGAAGCCCTTGAAGAGAACAGTATAGATCGCGGTAGAGAAAGAAAAATGCTAGACTCAAATTTAGAACTGAAAGCACTGTATAAAAGTCATATTTGTGACTAATAATAACTTAACTGAAAACTTACGATTAAGGTAATTGCTCGTGTCTCTTCATCCATCATTATGTTACCATATTGCAAATCATTGTGACAAAACCCGATCTCTTGACAGCCCTGTGTTAACTTTCTCAAGGATGCTGATTTCCTCCCCGATAATGTCCAAGCTAAATTCTTTAGCAGTCCTCAGGGAACATATCTTCTTTGCATGACTAAGCCAAGTCCTGTGCAGAAGCAAAATGGGATAAGATACTTTCAAATCAAAAGCACTAACATGACAAATGCATATTAGTACCTCAATCAAAATGGGATAAAATACTTTCAACTCAAAAGCACTAACATGAAATATGCATATTAGTACCTCAATCGCTCCCAGAGAAGTACATTCTTCGGACCAGGCATGTCAAGATTGTGGAACTCTCTCAATTTAGCTTATGTTGCAGGGTCACAGATCAGCTGCAGAAAGCGCATGGTAAATCCAAAAGAAAATGAGTTAAGTAAAAGTGGCAAGACAAGAAAAGAGATAAAAGTGATTGAAGCCTGAAACAAAACCACCAAAAATTCATTACTTAGATCAACTAGTTGATGCCAGCTAAAATCGATTATCAGAGCTGACCAAGTGGGAAAAAAAACTAAACAGATGGATAGTTGATGCAAAAGGAAAATTGCAAATCATTTACAAACAAAGGAAGAAGCAGAAGACCGACATGAAGTAACCATTAGATAGAACCAAGAACTTCCTTTCCTACATGTATTCGTTTGCATGACCCTGATCTAGTCGTCTTCTAATGGCTCTAGAACAATAATCAACTTTCGGAAAGCATTAAGCAAAGAAAGAATTGACTCCTAATGAAACATCAACTGTATATTGTAGTTAAGATGTGATTTTTCTAACACATACCATAATATTGCAAGAATTAGACATCAAAGACAAGTTTTGAAAGAAGAAAATTATATACCCTGGAATGAATTAACTCCTCGATCCTTCCATTTGGAAACCGGCCAAGAAGCCTAGGTCCTTGACCATGCTTGGACATGAACTCAAAGGTTCTAATCTCATCATCCCTATTGAAGAACACTTGGACACCTTCACCGTAAATCCGGACCAACACCTTGAGATGAAGATCTCCATGATTTGTAGGCCAGATTATCTGAAAAACTTCATTAGTCATTGCTCCCTTCAGTGGAACCACATCAAATTCTTCTACATTTTTTATCGTATCTCCCCATCCAGCTGCCACTTCTTTCAGATCTTTCTTCACTTCTTCTGGTGCACAACTTGGAATGAACCCGTTTTTCTTTATAGGCGCTTCTCTATTAGCAGAAAGAACTTGAGATTGACTACAATTAAACTGTTATCAAAACCCCACAAAAGATTATTTCTATGAGAGTAGACCCACAATACTGAACACGACATGATTACACTACAAAATCCAATCGGATGAACATAAGTCTATTTGAGAGAGAGCTTCATAAAATGGGACAGAAAACAATTTTATTCTTTGAAAAGAAGAAAAACGATTCCATGCATGTATCAGAAACACTGAAATCAAAGAACCCATTTGACGAAAACCTTCTAGATTTCGAGGAAACAAACAATGTACTGGGAAGTAGTTCATTTCAATCAACAACATGCGTGTAATAACAAGTCGGTAATCACACAACCCATTTCAGAAGGAAAAAATGCTGAGAAAACCAGCAAGGAACACTGAGTTCACACAGAAAGAAAAAATAACACTAGAAGAACTCACAAAAGCTGGAACTTATCTTCAACAAGAAAGAAAATTAGATGATTGCAGCACCTCCAAACTGAAACGGAATCGGAAGGGAAGCACAGGAAAACATGTAAAAATAACTTACTTGTTGAAAAACAATCAGTTTCTCTCAGAACTTGTAGCACTACAAGTGAGACTAAGAATCCGTATAGCAAACTTTTTCAAGTTAGGAGCCGAAGATTCATACATTGTCCACCAATCAGTTATAAAAAAATGTAAAATGAACATGAAGCATAAACTATTGAGAGAAATTAATATATTTAGAACTTAAAATATAAAGTAGCATTTTTTTACCTGGTGATTTTTGTTTTCCTTTGCCTAACAGCCAAGCTAATACCAATGAGACCTTCTGCCCTTCGGTATTTAACTAACTCGCTGAAATCTTGTCTTGAGTTCTTGGTCGCGAACAAGCCTCACATGCTTCATAAAAACCGTTTTCAACTTCTTCACTAAGCACAACCACCAACTTCATCATAAAGATCCCCGGTTCAAGAAATGCCCGCAGCATGCAAAGGTTATGTAGTTGACATTCCCACCTATGATCTATAATTTCAAAAGCTTTCTTGTAATCATCCTCTCGATTCGGGAAAATCATGAATCGCCTCCTTAGCTCTATCCATTGCCTCATAGATGTATCCATGGCTGGATTTTTTTCTCCATAACTAGTCTAAGAACTTTCACTAAGGGCCGTCAACTTGAGAGAATAAAGTACATTCCTCCAAACGTTTCTTGCAAAAGTAAGACTTTATTTTCTTACTCGTGGGTTCTTTAGACCACTTGCTCGCTTCCCACTTGAGAATCACCATCTTCCTCAAATTGTTTTTTTGTTTGTGGATCTGGAGCAAGAGTGATGTAGCAAATCTTGTGATGGTCGTCTATGCAAGTTTCTTTGGTTTGTGAACTTTCTCATCAAGTTCACCAAACCAACATGACTATATATATCCATTTGAGTAAATGGCCTTTTTTAAAAGCATTTTGAACCCTAGGAATGTGTTTGCCAATATCCTCCAACATCAAGTTAGGCAGTGTGCAGCACATGGTGTCCAATAAAGATGTGGTCTTAGCTTCCAACTACTTCCCTACAAAGTTAGAGGAATAAGATGAGTAGATGACATTAGACAAAAGATTATCAAAAGACTAAAGTTGCAACTCAACTCTTACCTGCCTTCACATAAGCTGATGCATTATCAGTCACCACCTGCACCACATTCTCTTCACCAACTTCCTCCACCATTTTATCAAGAACATGAAACAACAAATCAGCATCCTTTGAAACATCAGATACATCAAGTGACTTCACGAAAACCGAACCCTTTGGGAGTTTACCAGGAGTGATATCTTTTTGAACAACGGAATCACGCCATCCATCGATAGTATTGAACAACCTTTTTCTGCCCATTCTTCTTATTTTCCACAATTTGGTTTTGAACTTCCTCTACTTCCTTGTTAAGTATAGGAACTCTTAACTCGTACATACTTGGTGCTTTCATCCCGGGGCCAAACTGTCCGATTGCTTCGATCATTATTTGAAAACTCATATGTTGCGGCATTAAAAGAAATGCCTACATAAAAAATATATTTCCATCAGCATAAACAAAAAAAAAGACTTCCAACACTTAAAACTAAAAAACATTAAATATTTAATTATTTATAATACTTGCATCGTAAAACCACCTCCCAATCTCATGACAAACTTTATCCCTAAGGTCCTTTCGACACGTTTCATTGATGGTTTGTTGTCTCCCTTCCTTCCTAGCTTTGATTGCTTCTTGAGGATTAGGAGTGAAGTACATGTCCATAGGACCTTTTTGCCTTGGTTTTTTGGGTGGGGGCATCTTGCTACTACGGCCGCCTATTTCAACAACATCTTCTTCTTCACCATCGTATTCATCATCTTGTTGTTGGTGCATCCATTTTTTTTGCTTGCATATGTTGTTCTGCCTTGCCGTTTGTTTCTTCATCATGAACACATTTAATTCTTCCCGCACATGCTCCGGACAGTTTGGACATTTACGAGCATCCTTAAAACCACCAATCATATGCAGTTTGATCCGAAACACACCTCCCTTAAATGTTTGTCCATAAAAAGAGCATGTAAAGCTGATTTTATTATTCGGATCTTGTATTATATTTCTAATCGGGTCTTCTGACCCGTTCTTTGGAGAACCTGCGTTACCCGCCGTTGAAGTCATTCTATAAAAGATAAATTAAACATAAAGTCAAACTAAAATAACAAGTCAAACTAAAATAACAGAAAGCAATACCAGTAATCCATATACAAAGTTACAAACTATACCAGTAAGGCAGTAACAACTATAAAACGTTTAACAAGCATTTTGCTTGTCTTAGTCTACATGTAAAATTCAGCAATACTAAGTACTTAAAGAAGGAGAAAGCAATAAGCTATAAGAAGAACATATCTATAAATTATAAAACACAATTTTGCAATAAACTATAATATATAAACAACAAAATTACGTACCGGTTGATGAAGTGCAGCAGCAGCGTGACTCGAGTGAGATGAGAGGAAGATGATGATCAAAACTTGAGCTGTGACTCGTGAGTCAGGAGTCGTGAGCGTGAGGCGAGATACGAAGCATGGATATGGATGTAGAACGCTAAGCATATCAATTTCCACTTTCCTAAAGTGATTGGTGCAAACTGCAAAGTAATTAGTGGTTTAATAACCAAAACAGGTTGGCAAATAAAGGAAAACAGAATTATGAAGCATATCCTCAAGGTATTCCAGGTTTCTAGTGCTCAAAATTCTGCAGAAATTGCATCCTGAACTGAGAAAAAGAGAACTTCACAGATTCCAAAATGCTCTCTAATATCCTATAACAGGTAAAATATAAGCATATTAAATTTTCCATTCTAAGGAGAAATGATGGATTCTCGGTGATCATAGTATATACAAATTCAAAGCGACTCCGACAAGTCAATTGCAATCTTTTAATGCCGCTGAATAAATTGATACACTTCAAATCAGAATCCTTGCACTAAGATTTGTGTGAAAATAATACCGTGTAATTTATTTCCTTGATTGTGATCAACCCAGACAATGGCCTTCCCCTATCTGAAGAAAAGACCCTTCCATGAACTCCTGTCTGAAAATAGACATGTCACATAGATCAATAATTAGTAGACAGGAAACTGTAAAAATATTCCACTTCCTTGAATGTTTAAGATTCTTATCCGCAAATCCTCCAACACAGTAAGTAATTTTAGAAAAATATTTTTTATACAAAAAAGAAGCAGAAAGAATATGAAATCTATTTCAATTTTCAATAGACATTTTTAAAGCGAAACTGCAGTCTACCTTTACAAGGCTTGCAATAAGATTTAGCATGCTCATTTTGTTGTACTCCCAAATGGTAGGAAGCTGCACATTACAATCAGAAAAGAAGATGAGAGAAGGCAACAAAATGTAGTAAAAACAAGAATGAATACTATCTAAATTAACTGTTCAAACCAAGCCGAAAGCTAAATAAGATAAAGTAATGCTGCCAAAACCTAAGAACTATCTACACTATATGATACAAAGCTAACAAGGTTCATATATTTAAGAGAGAAAATAAAATGGAGGAAAGACCATGCATATGTAAAAATTTATTTAAAGCATCTGCAGAATAGGGAAATGATAACTGCTGTATCAACACTGATTCTTGCTAATTAGTTTATTGACAATTTTTTTTTATAGGAATAGATGGCCTCATTAAAAACCTCCCTCTTAGAGGTCCTTTACCGTAGGGTAAGAACCAACTAGCGGAAGGAGGAAAAGAGTGCCAGACTTTATTGCTTGCAAAAGAATTACATAAGACTTAAAAACAGTCCTACGAGATACATAAAACTTAAACACACTGCAAAAAATCCTAACTGCTGAACTCCCCAACTCGCTGAAACAACAATTACCATCACCCAATCCCCTCCTTTGCTAGAGTATCAGCCTCGCAATTACAGCACCTCGGAATCCACCTCACAAAAATCTCATACACAGAAATTGTAGATGCTATCTCCTTAACTAAATTAGAAAGAAAAGAAGGGGCAGTGACTTGATCTTTCAACCATTCCACTGCTAGTTTACAATCAGATTCTACAATTAGTCTTCCCTTCGATGCCCATTCTGAAGAGACAAAGATGTCTATTCCTTTCTTGATGGCTTTCAACTCTGCTACGATGATAGGAGTAGGACCAACATTTTCTGAAAAAGACATCAGCTTTGTCCGATTCCAGTCTCTGAGAATACCCCCAATTCCAGCAATTCTCCCAACAGTACAAACAGCTCCATCCACATTCATTTTATAAAAATCAGTTGTTGGAGGACTCCAACAAACCACCGGCATGTTCAAATCATTAATAACCGAAAAATTGTCTGCCAATGAAGGATCACCAATTAACAAATCCACCTGAATATAGCGATAAGGAAACTTTGCTAGAAACCATTTCGCTAACCTGAGCCGAACCGTGAGAAACAGAGCAAATCTGTCCAGCTTTCCACCATCAAAGATGATTTCATTTCTAAATTTCCATAAAGACCAAAGGATTGCCGTTGGAATGAACTTCCACATGGCAGAATAATGCATCAAATCTGTCCAAGAGCTAAGAAGGGAGGGAGGATCGGAAGGTAAAACTAACGAAATACCCCAAAAGCCGATAATTTTGTTCCACAATTCCCACAAAACTTGACAGGAAATTAAAAGATGTTGAACAGATTCTTCACAGAGGTTGCAGAGAGGGCAAAGAATATCATCCCCTAAGGGAACCCCCCGTTTCGTCAATTCCACTCTCACCGGTACTTTTTTATGGGAAACTTGCCATAGGAAAGCCTCAACTCTAGGAGGAACTAAACCCATCCAACTAAATTTGTTCCACATGAATGAATCTTCATTAGAATAGGAAAAAGACTTCCTACAAGCTTTAACCGAAAACAGCTCATCCCCCACTCCATCCCATAACAAACAGTCCTCCAAAGATTCGGTTAATTTAATGTCTTTGAGTCTATCCAAAAGCTCCACCAACTGAACCACTTCCCAGTCACAGAGATTCCTCCTCGTTTTAATATTCCACTCCCATCTATTCGAATCGAAGATCCCAAAATCAGCAGCCAAGCCCCGTTGAATTGTAGAAAGAGCAAATATCCTAGGGAAAAGGATTTTCAAAGGAAAATCCCCTAACCAAGTATCATTCCAAAACGAGATCGATTTACCATTCCCTACCTGTAACTTCGCATGGGCTCTAAGGCAACCTCCAACAAAATCATCTTTGGTGAAGTTATTAACAATTCCCCTCCAAATCCAAGAGTCCTTGTGGGAGAAGACCTTGGTAATATCCATGGAATTACAACTAACATCGTGTTTGGAACATATGAAACTCTTCCACATGGAATTTTTCTCATTAGCAAACTTCCACACCCACTTTCCCAACAAGGCTCGATTAGAATATCTCAAGTCGGCAACTCCCAAACCTCCACAACTCAAAGGATTGCAAATCTTATCCCAAGTTACCCAGTGCATTTTCTCCTTCTCAACCCCCTCACCCCATAAAAAAGCCGCCATCAAAGAATTTAACTTCTTGCATATAGTAGAAGGCATCTTGAATAAAGATAGAAAGAATACAGGTAAAGAAGACAAAACCGATTTAATAAGCACCAATCTACCTGCCAATGACAAGGAGGGACCTTGACTAGACACAAAAAAGACCAAAACACCTAATTAAATTCCATAGAGCTATTTTGGCAATATAATTTCTGATATTCATCAGTATCAGCATAAATGGGATTCCATATTTGACAACATCAAGATAAATAAAAGAACCCATAAGGCACCAAACCAAAGAAAACTAGATTACATAAACTAGGAGGAAACCACATTAAATTCGCTACAACTAAAGCAAACTTATGAAAAACGAATTTGTTTTAAAACATTCTTTACCACATTAAAAAAGCCTGCTCCACAAATTGCATCAAAACACTGTCAAAAGAACCAATTGCTTGGTTTTAAGAGAAGCATGGGGCAAACCGTTAAAGTAAAATTCAACATCTCAATGCCTAAGGTTCTAACTAAGAACAATCACTCCAGACAGCTGTGAGGAACACCTCTATGACCAGAAATTTGAATTTTATGAAAAACCACAAAAGAGGCATTCCTGATTTTGTCTGATAAGAAGAGGCACTTTCTTGTGAAGTTGTGAAGTTAATAAAAAAATAACAAGTTAAGAAGCAAAGAGTAATAGGTGAAAAGTAAGACTCCTATCCATCTTTCCATTACTTGCTTTTATGAGAAAAATAAGAAAAGTAGAGGTAGTCCACCTTTCAAAACTAAAGAATACAATTCAAGCTAAGCATAAAGAGTGCTAGACTGATTCCACTCCCCATTCAGTTGGGTCTTGGGATTTTTTTTTGGGGTGTGTGGGGGGGGAGGTTTAACAAATTAGATAAAAGCTTATTGTCATTCCCTAAAAACCAGTTCTAATCAACATTCAATGTTTTTTCTCCAAAAGAAAAGAAAAGTTCTTCCAGAACTGGTATATAACATAATTATATAGAGATACTACGATGCAAGTCCTTAATATTATCAAGTGAAAGATGACTCAGACAAAGTCTAACCTCCATGGCATTAGGCCATTTGTTATCAGTAATCTCCAAGGTCAACTCAAAACAGCCACCATATATGTAGTTCCAGTCTTGCATGCCACCATATACGGGGTACCTGCATTAAGTTGAACACTTGCTGAATGGTAAATAACAGAATAAGTTATGAAAAATGGGCATATATTGCAGACTACAAAAAAGATGGAGAAAACTTGCATGGTAATCAAATTATAATCATAACCAGCAAACAAGTTGCTTACCAAGCTGCTCCATTTGTAATTCCTCCCTCAAATTCCTTGCTCAAAGACATGTTATAGTGAGATTTGCTATATATGCTTGCCAAGAACCGGAATGTTCCATCATCAGGACATGCATAATAATGCTTCCTGATTTAACACATATGAATATGAGAAACTACATCCAGCATTGCATTCAAAAGATTCAGTTTGCAGTAATATAGCAAAAGAAACCAATTTTATGTTGTTCATAAGGTGTAGAAATATAGAAGAGTTGCGTTACTAACAGCAACATTGTGACAAGTGAAACTCATTATGAATTAAACAAAATATATGGGGATTCATAAAACTACAACCATTCATTATTGCAGACATAATCATGGTGAAATCAACCAGGAAGTTATTAAAAATTCTGTTGCAACTTAATTGAATAAAATATATGCCGACATCGAAAATAAAAAGAACTGAAGTGAAACAAAAGCCTGAAAACCACAACATGGAAATACGCAATCCATGATAATTTAACAGGTGAGCCTCAAATAACCAAATCAAGAAAATTAAATTGCTGGCTTAAAAAGGATTTGGACATGTATGACTGGAACAAGGAATAAAGTCTGAAGCCTAGCATGCCTATATATAACACCTGATAATCTAACATGCCTAGACACAATATCTTCAAATAGCAGACGGAAGCTGTAAGGAACTTGAATGATTATGTAGGTGCAACTTTGCAACTTTAAAGCTGATAATGAAGAAGAATCACCTTTTATCCAGACTGCCGTCCCACGGATAGTTTGCAACAAGTGCACCCTGTCAACAATAAATTGGTAATAAGGGCTTTCTCACTATGTTTCTCATGTATATTTTCTAACTAAGAACAAATTAATAGCCACATTCTAACAACATCATATATTTGAAGTAATGAGACAACTTAATATGTACAACACTAGGGGTGCGTTTGGTTCACAGAATGTAAGATTACCTTTGGGAAAAAGATTACCGGCATGTAACATTTCTCTGGGAATGTTGTATTACCCTGTTTGGTTTGCTTAGCGGGAACATAAGATTGCAGTGTTTGGCTGGAAGAATATAAGATTACTTGAATGTATATTTTACCAAATTATCCTTGTAATATATATTTTTTAACAAGTAAAACTTTAATATTAAATTATAAAAATCTGAATGAAAATTTATAAAAATATTTTAATCATTACACTATCTAAGTTTAAAGAAAAAAAATACATTTAACATATAATTAATATAATTATTAACTTATAATTTTAAATAATTTTCATAAGTATCATATTTATTTATATAAAATATAATATAACATAAAAAAGGAAGACATGTCTCTTTGAAAGTCTGTTGTTGCAATATCAGAATCAAAATATGAGTGAGAGAGAGAAAAACGTAGAGAGAGATTTCGAAAGCAAAGTCAGTTTCCGATGAGGTTTGGGATACCCTCGTCATTCTTTAAGGGAAATTTTCTTTGTCCATGGTCCTATTATGAGAATTTTTATTCCCAAAGAAACAAGAAATCCAAAATACAAGTTTTCCACTTTTGCTTTTGTTCATTTTAAGAGTGAGGTTGGTTTGAAGAGGGTTGTTGAAGCCTTAAACGGTGTATTGATAGACGGGAAGAAGATTACAATTAGTCCTGCAAGATACAAGGAATCTCGATCAAGGGTAGTGGGGATGAACATGTTCTCAAAGAAGGTTTCCAGTCAGGATATTGCAGAGACATCAAAGTCCAAAGAGGTAGATAACTCTAACAGAAGTATAAGAGATGCCAGAACTTACAAAGATGCTTTGATGTCAAATAGAAGTGCTATGGGAATAGGGAACTGTTATCAGATGATTTTCACAGGGGGAAAGTCAAGAAAAACATTTTAGAAATGTATATTCCATCGGAAAGTTCAAGTTGGGTTAAAAGGTCATTAACCGGGATTGTTAAACACTCATTACAGATTGAGTTGATTAGGAAGGCCTTAGTAAACGATGGTTTTGACGTTCAAATTGCTCAATGGGGCCATGTTTGGAACTCTTGCGTTATAGTGTTTAACTCAACCGAGGAGATGATGGACATATGGATGAGAGGAAAGAGGAAATGAATCCATGGTTTGACCAACTGGAACCATTATTGAATGATGAGGGTGTCCCAATGGCCTTCTATCTGGTGGAATTAATTGGGGTCCCTTTGTTATGCTGGAATGAATCTTTCTTCGAGCAAGTAGTTGGGAGATGGGGAACACTGGTTGACATACACGATGCTACTAGAAAAAGAGAAGATCTCACAATGGCAAGATTTTTAATGAGGGTGGCAAGTCCTTTTGATGTTCCGGATGTGATCACTCTTGGCTCATATGGAAGATCCTTTAAAGTCAGTATCAAGATTGGATCGGAAAGCGAGTTTTCAAGTTCCTTTTTCAGTGATGTTCCGGTGGAAGGTTCCGATGGAGGTTTTTTTGAAGAGATGAAGTCTGCTGATAAAGAAGATAGCCTACTGTCAGAAAGAGAGAAAGATGCAGCATGTGCAGCAGTAGAAAATCGACTGAGAGTTGACAATTGGTTCGACCAGGGAGTTTTTTCTGGATTTGAAGTAGGGAAGGAACAACAGTCTTCAAGATTTTCCTTACTAAGAAAAGTCATTAATTGTGGGTTGTCAGAAAGTCATAACATTGGGAGTATAAATGTGGGGGAGTTTGCTGGTTTAGGCATTAGAAATTCAAATTTTTCGGCTGATGGATCACAGGCTCAATCTGAGGATTTTGGGTAGCCTGGGCTAAGAGATTTCAAGGTTATTCTTATTGGACCAGCTTTCCAAATCAACAAGTTTGGGGAAATGGTTCAAAATCATAATTCAACATAAAATGGCAGCAGAATTAACGAAGTTATGGAGAATAGCCAACATGAAGAACATTTCGATGGTGCTGGAAAAGAAGTTATTGAAGCAGAGTTAAGGCTGGTTAAATCTAGCACTTTTGATTCAGGAATTAACTCAAAGGGTATAAAGTTAAATCGTTCCAAAAGGCTATTAAAAACATTGATCTGCAAGAAACTAGAAGTATGTGTAGTTATAAAAGGGTATATAAGAGGTCGAGGAACATGATACATTGGCATGGGAATATACTGAATTTCATACCTGAATCTGAGGAAATCATAGTTAGTCAGAGAGGGATACAAGCGGATCTTAATACTACTCAACAGATTTGTTCTACTGCAGACTTCATTGTCATTGGGAAAAAGTATTCTATTAATGTTGGAGGTTCGTCGAACGAAATTGTGGATACGAAGATTGAAGGATGGTTTTCAGAAGGAGACTGCTCTAGTCTCAAATCTGGTTTGTTGATCAGAAAAGCCAAAAAAAATTTGACAAGGGAAGCACTTGAACATGTGAGCATTGAAACAACCTTCTCTCCAGCATTTACCGACTTTTTGGAAGATGCTTTAGCTACATGGGAGGTTAGTAAGCTTTTGGGGGTGTCTTTCATGGAAGTAAAAGAAGCCTTTTTGGAAAAAATCATGAGCTTGGAGAGAGTATCGAATGGGGTCATTCAAGGCGAGCTTGGAGGTGGTGATTAGTTCGAATGGAGACATTTAAGGGGATCTTCATAAATTTACAATGATGAAAACAAAATTAATCATCTGCTCATGGAATGTTAGGGGTTTGGGTAAAAAAGAAAAACAGAGGGTTGTTCAAAATTTATGTTCTAAAATATATCCTACTTTTCTATGGTTGCAAGAAACAAAGACAGAGAAGTTTCAAAGGTCTTTTTTTAGGAGTGGGTTGAACAAACTCAGAGGTGTCATTGAATCTCCTTCGATCAGATCCTCAAGGGGTTTATTGTGTTGTTGGGATGATAATATTTTTGAATTGGAAAATCAACATGTAAGCAGCAAATTTATAGCCATTATGGGTAAATTTCGAGCTAATAATTCCAGTTGTGGTTTCATCAATGTTTATGGTCCATCAGTGGAGGAGGAAAAGACAAGTTTTTTTTTTAGAACTAAACTGTACTTAAGTGGTCAAAATTGTCCTGTTTGTGTAGGAGGGGACTTCAATGCTTATTTGTATGAAGAAGAAAATATTGGCAGAGCGCAGAACAGAAATTCAATGACTATTTTCAGTCAGTTTATTCTACAATCTGGTCTTATTAATCTACCTATGATTGGAGGCAGATTTACTTGGTGTAATAACCAAGATAATCCAACCTTTGTAAGACTGGATCGATTTCTTGTTGATAGTCAGTTTTTGGTTGCATTCCCCGACATAGTTCAGTCTATTCTTCCAAGGTTTGTGTCAAATCACAATGCTATAACTCTTGAGAATAGGGGTGTAGATTGGGGTAAAAAACCTTTCAAATTATTCAATTACTTGATGGATGAGGAAGGTTTTGAGGATTTGATTAAGTCTTCTGTTCAAAATAGTAAGAAAATCAAAGGAAAGTGGGTGCTTTTAATATTCTGAAGAATGCCAAATGTTCAATCAAGAAGTGGGCTGGGAAGAGAGATCAATATCCAAGAGCATTGATTTCCGAATTAGAAGAGAAAATTCATAAGTTAGAGATCATCCAACAACAGCAGCAAGGTGTTATAGATAGAGAAGTTTTAGCAAAATTGAACACTCATAGAGCAGAATTGTGGAGATTGTATAAAATTCAGGAGCAGGTCGGTTTCCAGTATTTTAGATCAAGGTGGATAAAAGATGGGGACTGTAATACAAGATACATCCATACTTGTGCTACAGTAAGAAAAAATCTAAATGCATTGAATGCACTGAACATTATGGGAAAGACTATTCAAGATCCGAATGTAATAAAGGCTACAACAAGGGAGTATTTCTTCAAAATTTACAACCCTGGAAATTGATGATATAAGGCTGGAATTTAACAGAATTACTTTGGACCAGAGTCGGCTGTTAGAGAGAATTTTCTGAGGATGAGATTTGGGAAACCTTGAAGTCTTGTGACAGTAATAAAATCCTGGGGCCGGATGGTTTAAATTTGGGTTTTTCAAGAGGTTTTGGCCTGTTCTTAAGGAGGATATTATGAGATTTTTTCGTAATTTCTATTTGGGGAAAGAGTGGGAACATGGTGTAAACCATACTTTTATCACTCTTACTCCAAAAATTTCGAATGCTAGTGGCCTTGAAGATTATAGACCTATAAGTTTAGTAGGTGGGTTATATAAGATTTTGTCTAAGTGCCTATCAAGGAGGTTAAGGAGTTGCATTTCAGACATTATCAGTCCTTCTCAATTTGCTTTCATCCCCGGTCGAAAAATTTTGGATTGTTCTTTAATTGCTAATGAGGGAATTGATTTTTTGAGGAAGAATGGTTTAAAGGGATGTGTTTTTAAAGTTGATTTTAAGAAGGCATATGACACAATTGACTGGCCTATTTTATTCAAAGTAATGAGGAAAATGGGCTTCGGTTCTACATGGATTGGCTGGATCTCCAAATGTGTCACAACCTCTGTTTCAGTTTTGGTCAATGGGGTTCCTTCAGAGGAATTCCCAATGGCAAAGGGTATTCGTCAAGGTTGTTCCTTGTCTCCTCTGTTATTCAACATAGTAGGGGAACTTCTTAATCTTATGATCCTTTAAGTTGTTTCAGAAGGTTTTTTTTCGGGTATGGTTATTAGCAGGGAGAAGGGGACTTTCAAACTATCTCACCTTCAATTTGTTGATGACCTTATAATATTCTGTGGTGCATCTAAGAAGCAGGTTATGAATGTGAAGAGAGTTCTTCGGGTCTTCGAAGTTATGTCTGGTCTCCAGTTGAACTTAAAAAAGTCTAAACTATTTAGGG